CAAGTGGGGTAATAAGATCAATTCCTTTAACCGATTGTTGAAAAACAGTGGCTCCGCTGTGGTTGTCCAGCGTCCAGGTGATGTCGTCTACCTGAACAGCTTGGTGTACCATTCCGTGCTGTTGGGGTTTCTGCCGGAAACAACGCCGTCCAAAAGGTGGAGAGGGATTTTTGGAGACGTTATCCTCCTTTTCCAAGATCGCGAGGAGTCATTCAAGTACGCGACACAACTGGCAACCGGGTCAGAGCGAGGGTCGGTTCGAGCTTGGCGCTCACTACTCAGCGCGTTTTGTGTAATGGAAGGGCGTGCTTGGACCGACAAAAAACTACGAAGAAGAAAAGAAGACATTTTTAGGAACGGCTACCTGAGACGGACAAAACAGCCAAGGTTCAACTTCAAGCCAACGCGAAGTGGAACAAAAAGCGCAGTATGGGCGAGAAGATGCGCGCTTTACGGGAGAAGGCCGCCCTGCCGCACTGCCACCGCTCTGATGTCACACTGAGACCGCCCTGCCGCCGCCCTGCCACCGCTCTGCCGCCGCACTACCACCGCACTAAGACCGCCCTCAACCGCCCTTTCACCACCCTGCCACCGCTCTGCCTCCGCACTTCCACCGCACTGAGACCGCCCTGCCACCGCCACCGCACTGAGACCTCCCTGCCGCCGCACTGCCACCGCCTCCCTCTTTTTTAGTGAATACATTTTCGATGTGGCCCACAGTTAAAAAAGAAAACTTTATATATTTGTTTTAAGAGTTACTGACTTAGATGTGCCACCCGTTTGGTACAGGTCGGAGATTGTCGGAGGTTGGATATTTTATGTTATGGTACTAAGAGTTTCATCGTCGTTGTGGGTGGGTGTATTACTTGTCTTGGTGTCTTCACAGGTAGTGGATGGAGTTGCCAGGTGCAAGGACCATGCAAGCAGCTCGGCTGGTGAGCATCAAGCGTGAGCAACAGTCGCTTCGATACCCTTCACAGCTGAGCTTGTGGGGTTCAGGACTGTGAGTAGCGGGAAGTGACGGAAGACGCGTGCGGTTGGGACATCCATTACCTGATTGTTACTGTTAAGACTGTCGACCTAGAGCTGAAAGCAGGTAGCAAGCAGGACACGCTGCACCCGATCCATCGCTTCACGCGTCTGCGTGTCAAATCCAGTCAATTTTTGCAGCGACACCGCGTTTCTGAGTTTGTTTCCGCTGAGTACTTTCGCTATCTTGTGGTCTTCTATGCTTGTATTAAAAAAATGTAATTGAACCCTTTGTTCGTCGTGCTTAGATTCCAGGAGCCTCTGTCAAAGATCCAGCGTGCTGTCATCTCGTCGCAGACGTTTGCGTGCTGAGCGCCTCCTCTTCGAAACGAGCGCGATGTCAAGGCGACATCCACACCATCAGCAGGCGCATCATGGTCTAGCACCCGGTTAACGTGCGGCTACACAGTAGGAATTGCGGTAACGCGATGCGGGGCTGCTAGAGCGGCAAGTCCAGTGGTGACTTGCGGAGTGTTGAGCAGCTCGATCAGCGGGACGTCGGGAGAAAGCGTGGAGCTTGCGAAGCCTGCTTGTACTGGGAGGCTGCTGATGAGGGCTGCGCCTGGGGCGGCTTGCAGAATTAAGGCGAGCGCAATGGCGAGCAAGGGGCACGTAGCCATTTCCGTGTCAGGAAAGAGCGACAGCCCCTGCTCCTTTTCTCAGCCCAAAGACCGTTTCAGGGTCTGTGAATCCGGCTATAAAATTGGTAGAAAGCAGTCTTTGGCACGACGACTGGCATCTCACATCCTAAAAAATAGATTCTCTAACCACTTACATATTATCAATATGAATTTGTGTTATTCACACTAAATGGTCTTTCTATGTGCTCGGTCGAAGCTGTCGGAGGTCGGAGTTAATTTGATATGGATGAATATCATCACTTATCGGACCTCACTTACTTTAAATATCAGCATTAATGGCCAATCATATATTTATTTGTTTTGGATAACCAATCATATCCAAATAATATGTCAGTCTTGGCCAATCAATCCGTCAGGGGTTAGGTTGGTCATCTAAGCTCCACATCGGACGTATTAGGTCCGAGGGGCCCGGAAAATATGTGTATCCCCTTACAAATATTAAGATGCCGGCGTATCACACGCATATTTTCATTTTATCCGACCGACGTAATCATTTCGGTACAAACGACTCCATTTGCGCTTTTAAAATTTGTTGTATTGATACCGTAGCAATTTCTCGAAAGCGCTTAAATGGCGACATGATGCATGGAATTAAGAGCCTCTGTGCTGACGAGATGCAGTAGCTACACTTGTAACTTCTAATAGCTTCCGTGAGGTGGTGCATAGCGAATTCTTATTATTGTACCCGTTTTTAAATAGACATTGACAATTTGCATCAATTACTTGGACATGTTTTACATTATTTAGTGCTCGCTAGCTACACGCAACTACTGAGAGCATCGAGCTCTTCATCGACACGACCAGCAGCTGGGACAAGCATCTGGACTTGGTGCGTCGCCAGCGGGCTATCGGCCGGCAGCATGCTTCCCGCCCTGCCGGGTGGGGAAATAGATCTTGCGGGGTCTGCACGGGGCCTGGCGGCGGCATTCTCGCTGCTGATAGCTGGATGACTCGACGATACCATCGAAGTCCGCCCTTCGGAGTGCCACCTGCAGGCACGCACCCAACGGGCAGCCTGCCGCCCGCCCTGCCGGGCAAGCCACCACAGCCCTTGAGGATCCGCCCGCTGTTGCTGTCCCCTTCGCTCCTTCCGTCTTTGTTGGCCTTCCTGTCCTTGGTGTTGCCTCTCTTGTCGCCGCCGCCACCCTCCTGCTGCATGCCGTCGTGGCCACCCTCCTGTCGCACGTGCCGCCGCCGTCATCGCCCCTCGCCATCTCCCTCCCCGCCTTCTGTAAAATAATAATGTTTAGTGTGTGGGCCACAATATCTAATCCATAAACTAATAAATTGATTTTGAGGGTTTTTATTTAGCGTACCCTAGTTTTGGTACAGGTCCGATAAGGTCATCCGGTCCGATAAATTTTGGTATGGTGGACGCTCAGTATTTGTAAAAAATATTGCGCAAACTACTTGGAGCTCAGTATTTCCGTAATTGTATCGCAAACAACACGGTGGAGGCTCAGAATTTTTAAAAAATATTGCGCAACTTACTTGCAGCTCAGTTTTTAGCAAATATGTTTTTTTTCAACATGGCTACAAATTACTTATAACAAACGACTTTCTCTGAGTTTAATTGTAGATTCTGTTAAACAACGTGCTTGGTAGTCCAAATTGTGATCCGACTACATGTAATGAAAATGAAGAATCCGTTTAGGCTTATCTATTAGTACATGTACCGGTAAAATAGGCCCGTCGAAGCGAAGCGGGGACGAAAAAGACCTTACCAAGTGGGACGTAGCCAAAACTACCGCCGCGTAGCGGCGGCGCTCGGATAGTAATATAGTATGTGGGTGAGAAATCAGAAATTGGAGTGCGATTTCAGTTTTTTCCCATCTGGAAGGTGCTGCGTCTGAGCCGGTGGCATCGTTATGTGGTTCGCGCACTCAGACACGAGCCCACAGCACTGAGGACTTCGCAACCGCGATACTACAGTCGCGCCCGGACCCCCAGCATGTGACACCGCGATACCACCCGATCGTTGCCGCAATTCCTTCCTCTAGCAGCCTTTGTGAATAGGTGTTCTCGCATGCAAGTTGATCATGACGCCTCAGCGTGCATCCCTTCTGCCGAAGAACTTCGAGGTGCTCGTTTTTCTGCGAGCCAACCGTAAGTTCTGGGATGCAGGTACACTTATGAGACTCGATGTTGATGACACTGACGATAACTAGTGTCAATGCTGGTGCTGAAGGGCAAATATTCCTCATTTATTTTTTGTTATTCTTCTTTATATCTATTTATTTCTAATTGTTGTGAAGAACAGCTAATACATTTCTTATTGTAATGCCCGAGCACTGGTGGCATACAATGTGGTATAAGACGTGGGACAGTGTGACCGATAGTGAATTTAGCATTGAACCGGATCACTGATACAATACCCGCGAAATCGTTTTTTTAATGATTTGTGCACCCCAAATCATTAAGACCCCGGATTTGGCAGGACACTTTTGGCAATATCTCGGCTTGTAGCCTGAGTTAGAAGCTGCTACATTGATATTTTCTCTCTTTTGTGCTCAGTAAGATGCCACTTACGCTAACTGCTTAGATTTAAATGTATCTGGCAGCGCTGGTATACAAAGTCAAAGTTTTGGCACTAGCGTCAAATTATTAAGACCACCTCCTTTTTTATGCTAGAAAAACACTTTTAAAAACATACCTTACAAACTTTTATATTAAAAGTTAGTACTTAGTCAGTCCACCTTTCTTCTTGACGACCGCAAAACAGCAGCGAGGCAAGGACTCTACCAGCTTTAGTAAGTACTCCAGCTGAATCGAGCCTCATACAGCCAAGATTGCTGCCTCCAGATCATCAACGTTTTAGCACTGACGGCCATGTGCGTACACTTTGGCCACCATCGCCGACCACACATTCTGGATGGGGTTGCAATCTGGCGAGCAAGCTGGCCGTGCCATGGTGCTGGTTTGCATCTCCTGCAAAAATTGTTTCGTTTCATGCCAGACATGTATCCAAGCATTGTCTTGCTAAAATTCAAAATCAACACCGTAGTTCAAGTGCGCGAAAGGAAGCAGAAATTCAGATCACGTGTAAATGTAGTCACCTGAATTATGTTGTCCTCGCAAGATAGCCAGCTTACTTCTACCTGCTCCGCTAAAAGAGCCTCACACCATGACGCCCCTCCTCCATTTTGGCGACTCAAATAAGACTGTGGAGGATGGCGCATGACCCGCCAGTAATGTTTAAAACCATCAGGTCCATCTAGATTAAAATTCTTTTCATCTGAAAAAATAGTATAAATCTTAATTTCTTATAAAAAAGGCGACATATGATAGAATAAGTAATAGCTGCAACAAAATAGGACAGCTTACCAGGCTTCAGTATGTACTCCTTCGCCCATTCCATGCTTGTTGCTTTATCGCTTCCGTGAGGGGCTCCATCTTGGTGTAGACCCGATGGTCCACACGCTGCAGAGCCCGCTGGATCGTCCTCACGGACGCCTTAATGCCAATTTTGTTCTTGAGCTCGGCGGCAAAGAGCGTACCTGTCGCCGCGATACGCACTAGCTGCGAAAGCTCCTGATCCGTCAGCGCTGGTTGCCGCCCAGCCCTTCGCTGCCCACCGCTGCCTTTTTGTCTCTCCCACTCCGCCTTGACTGCGTTCCGGACGGACGTGCGAGACCGGCCTGTTTTTCAGGCGATCTCGTGCAGTAAAACCCCTCCGTCGTGGAGACCGACGATAAACCAATGCTCTTGCTGGGGCATGGCCTTACAGTGGCCCATTCGAAAATGAAAGACTCGTAGCCTAGCTCGTTTCCATTATCATCTACTTGGTTTTGGTCATCACTCTTTTGATATAGAATTTGTATGGTGTGTTCATAAAAATGTTTTTCTTTCGTAAAAAGGAGGCGGTCTTAATAATTTGACGCTGGTGCCAAAACCTTGAATTTGTAATCCAGCGCTACCAGATACATTGACATTTAAGCTGTAAGCACAAGTGGCATCTTACTAAGGCTAATAGAGAGAGCATATCAAAGTAGGAGCTCCTAACTTGGGCCACAAGCTGGGATATTGCCAAAAGTGTCCCGCCAATTAATGTATACTTTAGCCCTACCCTCCCCCCCCTATTTTAGTTGTTAAGGATTTAAAAATAACCTTTTGGTGTAGTTTCGCAGAAAGCCTGAAATACTAATGCAGTATTTCATAAATCGATCCGTCTTTATTTCGGATTTTCATTGAAATCGCCAAGACTGCAATGACGAACGCCCACCACGTGCAACTCAAGCCGAAGGCGCATGGCGTCATCTTCGACATGGATGGCACGCTGCTGGACACAGAGGAGTTGAGCCGCCTTGCCATTGACGGCGTAGTGCGTCAGTTCGGAAAGGAATTCACCATGCCAATGCACAAGACAATTCTGGGCCGTCCCGCTGTCGAGTGGACTCGCATGGCCATCACTGCCGCCGGTCTCAGCGAGGAGACCATTGCTCCAGAAGAGCTATTTAAGCAGTGGGAGAAGAGTATGCGAGACATGTCGGACCGCGTCAAGGAGATTCCGGGAGGCATCGAGGTTTTGACCGCCCTACACGCACGTGGTATCCCTATCGCGCTGGCCACTTCCAACAGCAGGAACGTCGTGGAGGCCAAGATCAAGCACCACCCGAAGCTCTTCTCATTTTTCTCTACGATCGTGTGCGGTGACGACCCAGCCGTGAAGCGCGGTAAGCCAGCGCCCGATATTTTCCGCACCGCTGGTCAACGTCTCTTTGGGCTCAAGGAGGGCGAGGACGGCGACAAGCCACCGCATTGCATCGTGTTCGAGGACTCGGTAAATGGCTACACTGCAGCTAACGCTGCGGATATGCATAGTATCGCTATTCCCGATGTACGCATCCACACGGACGAAGTACAGAGGGCGGAGCTCTTTGGCGAAGCAGACGAGGTGATCACGTCGCTCACCCAGTTCCAGATCGACAACTACGACTGGCAGCTGTAAAGAGACCACGTTAGACCTACATGTAGTGGTAGACTACTCGACGACCGCTGAGTGCTCTCTTCAATATGAACGTTTGGCTGTAAGTTCCGCATAAAAATAGTATTCTTGTCGCTGACACTTAGAAACTGGGTGCCATGTCGACAGCTATGAGGGTGAACGCAACGCTGCATAGCGAAGAGTTAAAAGATGCATATCGAGTGTGGCTCAACGATCTAAACGACGATAAACCCGAGAGGCTGCTGAAAAAGCTCGACAAGAAGAAGAAGGAAACCGGTGGCGGACGCCGAGCACGACGACATCAACGCATACAGCATGCACAACAGCACACCGCCGCCAGTGCTCTCAAAGATGTCGCTTTAAAGAAGGTAAGACTGCAACAGCATCGCCCTCTCCAACGTCGCTAAAGGCTTGACCGTATGCAGACAGAGCAGACAAAACTACCCTCCATAGCCCTCAAGCTAGCTGATAAACAAGCCCTTCAAGAATCGCAGAGCCGACGGCATCAAGCTCAAGTGGATGAGGCGAATTATTCCTCCTATCAATACTCACATGAGCTGTCGTGGAGGCCTGGACTTGCGTTCTACCAACAGTTAGTGCGTCAGATACTCCAGAAACGCTCCTCAGAAACGCAATGTGGGAGTAATTCGGAAGGTATTATTACGACTGAGCTGGCAGGTTTCCCTGTTCTGGTGGCGCCAATCCTCCTTCGAGTTTCGATTCGACGAAGTCATGAGGATCAGCTCGGTGTCGCTCTTTTATTTTGTCAGGAACAAAACCAAGAGCAAGGATTAAGCGATGACAGCACATCGCTGGTTCTAAACTGCCATGTGTACGTGCGTGAAAGGAGCTGGCGAGAGAATTGCAAACTGCTGGTCGACATCGTGTCAAACCCGTCATCTGACATTTGTGCAGTGAGGAAAAGTGCTGAAGATTTCGAGTGTCAAAGCAACGAGTTAAGGCTTTTGCGTTCCCGTCAAGAGGTTGCAAAGGCAATAGATGAGCTTTGGGTGAGCTCCAGTGATGTCAACAACATCGACACCGATTTGCTTGCAATTCAGAAGTATGTTCCATTCAAGGGGATATCGAGTCGCTCTAACGCCTTTGCAGCTTCAACCACTGCGTCTTTAGCTGAACATAAAGCTTGGATAGCACGCTGTGCTTCACGAAAACGAGATAAACACCCATCAATTGTTTGGGTCATTTCTGGCGGAGGCGTTTGTGATAGTATAACGTCAACACGCAGCGAAGACTGCCAACTAGTGAAATGTACCATGGACCAAGCGTGGTCTGAGCCTCGGCTGTTGACTTCAATGTGTATTATGTCATTGGAGAAGACTCTACGAGTTCGATTCATGGAACTGGTACTAGATCTGCTCCAAGACACTTCTGGAACTTGGTGGCTCCTACAGGTGAAGGCTTTTAAGCTTACTTCCGTTCGTCCTGCCTCTGCAGCAACAGTGTCGTCGTCGTCCACCAAAGCTTTACCGAGTCTATCACGTACTCAGTCAGCACCGACTCGGTTTGAGATTGGAGTCGTTCCAACTCCGCAGTGGAAGAAGTGGCGTTGCGCTGGGCGATACTGCACGTTAGCGCCAGGCAATCAGCTACTTGATTGTATCGGCGGGCCTGAAGACTGCAACGAGCCGAGTGGGTATCTCACGAAGAAAATGGTGCGAAGCTGTGAGTTTTACGATGATTTTGTTCAGCAGCAAGATGTGAGTCTTGCTGGTGGCTTTGCTGAGTTCCATTCGGCTTTGACATTTCACTTGCAACACCGCTTACCGAAGCGTGATCGCAGCCAACTCTACGAACCTCAAGCGCTTTGTAGGACATGTATTAAGCGGTATCATTCTCTGCGACAGCAATGGAAGGAAACGGTGAAAGCTCCGAAAACGACGACTACGACTCGCAGGAAGTTATCTCGGACCGAGCAGACATTGCTACCTCCCCGCACGCTCCCCTCGCTTCAACGAAAGCCTGAAGCTTTGTCAACCTTGAACCCCTCTAATTCTAGTCCTGCCATAACAGCTTCAAACCTCAGCACGTCTTCAAAGTTGAACGAGCGGGAACAAACCACCACACCGTCCCATTACCTAACTGAGATAGCAGCGATGGAAGAAATGCTAGCAGAACATGCACCACCTTCGTTGCTGGACTCCAAGAGACACGATCTTCTAGATGGGGCACAAACCCAAGCTGCGGCTGTAAACTCATCAGCTCTGATGAACGCATTGTCCCCTAGATCGTCAGGCCACGACGACATTTTCCCCATATGGGATGGTGTCACTCGAATCGAAGAAATGTGGCAGAACTTGACCTTCAAACCTCTCGAACGACAACTAACCGAAACTGAGTTAGACAACGATGAAAATGGCGTGAATCAAGGCTATAACACCATTTCATTGCAGCAAGAGCTTGCAGAGATTGCCGAATCGAGCGACACTAATGACAAAAACGATGAAAACTCTAGTATCAAGGTTGTTGAATCTGTTATGGCCAAGGCTGACGCAGCCTACACGATCCACGTCCAGCACTGTCGTCGTGTGTTTGAAGATGAAATCTACCGTGAAAATCTTGTGAACGACGCCGTGAGCGCGCTTCGATCGGGAAACCGGAACATTTGCTTAGTTGCACCTCCACCTGCTCGCAACTTGGAAGGAAATACCAACAAGCAGCACAATGGCGAGGATGACGATGAACTGGCTGAGATGGCGTTGCGTTCGCTCTACATCGACGTCAAGCAAGCAATTACAGCTTCATCTGATGGTTTGGCTTCTGACTTGTTGCTTTCCTCGTGGTCACTGCGCCCAACAGTTTGCCGTGAAACAAGTGGCTGCATCTCTGTAAATTTGGGTCCAGCCATATGATTGAAACCTGGACACCATGCCCACGTTGATGAAATAGAGCTACTGTAGAATTGATCGAATTTACACGCTATGCTACGATGTCGAAGCTCTTTAGTGCTCTTCAGCGTAGTAGTCAGGATACTTTGACACATGCTCCAGCATCTCGCGCTCTTGCTCCTGTAACACCATATCCAATAACAATGAGTTTCATCTCAAAACCAATAAGGCAACGCACTAAACGTACAAGCAAGTGCGGCAACTTGACGTCGTATACATCCTCAAACATCGTCTCCAGAGCCGGACGTTCCTTTGTCTCTGCCTGTTGTAAAGCTGCTAGCACATTTGTCCGCTCGTTATCCTGCATGAGACGATCCTGCTCTTCCGTAAGCCATCCACGTTTCTGCAAAAACGATGACTCAAATGTCAAGAGCTACACACCAGACATCTCCGTCGTTCTCTTTCTACTTACCAGCAGATAACGCTTAGTCCGCTCAATTGGATCACAGGTTTCTTTCCATTGTTTGATCTCAGCAACGGCTCGGTACTGCGTCGAGTCATCCGAAGTCGAGTGGTGTCCCTGACGGTAGGACATTGCCTCGATAAGTACGGGTCGATTTTCCTTCAGAATATACTCGCGAGCACGGCGAGTGGCTTCGTGCACAGCCAAGAAATCGTTGCCATCGACACGCATGATGGGGATACCGTAGCCACTGCCACGCGAAGCAATACCGTCGCCACGGAACTGCTCCTTAGTTGACGTGCTAATAGCGAATCCATTGTTTCGGACGAAGAAGAGGATGGGACAGTCCTTCGTGGATGCAAAATTCAACGCAGCATGGAAATCTCCCTCGCTGGCAGCACCTTCACCGAAGTAACAGACCGAAATACGGTCCTCCTTGGCCAACTTAAACGCGTAAGCAGCACCTGCGGCCTATAAACGTGCAGCACAAAGCGTCAAGATCGATTTCCGTTGCTTTTACAGGTATGTACTGTACCTGAGGGAGCTGTGTCGCCAACGGAGACGAAATGGTCTGGTGGTTGAGGTTCTTAGACCCGTAGTGTACTGGCATTTGACGGCCCTTGCCGTGTCCGTCCTTGTTGCTGAAGCATTGGTCGGCAAATTCTTGAAGTGTGAAGCCACGCCACATAAGGACACCTGGTTCACGGTACTGTGCAAAAACCATGTCTCCAAGACGAAGCGCCGACGCACTGCCAAACGAGATGGCTTCTTCGCCGTACGACGTCATGTAGAAGGAGATGCGCCCCTGACGCTGCGCATCGTAGAAAATATTGTCCATTGTCTATAGAAATTACAGCGCTAGCGTTAGAAACGACTCTTTTCATCCACGAAATTCATCTGCGTACGTTCAGACGGATCATTTGGCTGTAGATCTGCGTGCACAGGTCCTGGCTGAGCTGCGGGTCCGTGGCACCCTCCACGACGTCGCCATTCTCGTTCAGAACTGCAAATACAGCGCCAATTTTAGTTTTTATTTCTAAGAAAATGCAAGTGTCAGTTGCTTGTCTCCGTACTGCGAAAGCACGGAATGGGGTCGATCTCCTTCGGGTCGCGAAACACCACGTCGGGTACGAAAGGCATCTCGGTGCCTGGGAAACAGCCGAGCGTGGATGCCGAAGAGAGGCGACGCACGTGGCATCTGGTGCAAATAGCGACGCGGCGAGCGAGTGACGCTGCTGAGAACATGGCGATGAAGATGGAAGCTTGGCGGCTAAATCGATTCTGGTGTTGAACTTCAGGTCGAAGCAGCGATAGCTTTTTGCATCTAATCAAATGCTGCATCAAAACGGCCATCTATAATGAATAAAAAGAAACGTATGCGGATGGCAGAGACTTTGAAATCTACAAGAAGGTCCTAATGGGTCCTGTGTAATATAGTATGGTCCATTTATTCGGATGAGCATGTGACGGGACTGATCCAGTGAGTTTTTTTGTATTTCAGCGACGAAACAGCTCGCAAATGCTTCGTGAGTACTAAGTACTGTACATGTACATGTTTGTAGAGTACTGCACGACTCGTGCAGGATACAGTTTTAAGAAATGTACGGGAATACATTGCAAGATAAAACATTATGCAATGCGTATTGGAATAGGAGCTGGATAAAGGCACCAAACAGGGCTAGTTAGTATTACTGTTGTTCATCCGTGATTCATCCCGATTCGTCCGGCACGGATGAATATTCATCCGTGTGATAGTATTTATTAGTGGACTGAAATAAATGGTGTTTAAATTACCCAAAATATCCTATCTTCCTCTAGGTCCCCACTTCGACCGTTATCATGCCTCGTGGCACTGCAAAGAGCGGTGCGAAGACACGCTCCAAGGCTGCTGCCGGTAAGGCGCAAGCCAAGAGCACTAAGCCTCACGGCAAAGGCTCTGCACTCAAGGAGGCTACTCAGGTGGCCTCCGAGGCGATCGGTTCCTCGGGTGACGCGGCTGTGGACAAGCGCGCAAGCAAGCGCCGCAGCCTGTCACCCTCGGCCTCTGACAATCGTCCGAGCCTTCGGTTCGTGGAACATGAGTTCAACTCTGGCAGTGAGGACGAAGCCGAGTCCGAGAGCACGCACGATGCTCCTGCGGGCTCTGTGAGAGGGCACAGCCCAGTGATCAGTGAGCACAAGGACGACAGCGTGCAGTCGCTCGCTAGTGATCACGGTGATCACAGTCCCAGGACCTCTGTGCGCTCTGAGAGTCCGGCCAACAAGGCTAAGGGCAATCCCAAAGCCGGTGGCGATGAGGAAGATAATCCTCGCAAACGTCTCTCGCTTGCCGAGGGTCTTGCGCGTGCTAAGGCCTCTAAAGCCGAAGGCGCCAAGCCCTCAAAGAAGCGTACAGCCTCTAAGTCTCCACTCCGCGAGGAGAAGGAGACTCGACGCTCCTATCAGAGTCTCTTCGACTCCTCGGATGAAGAGGAGGAGAGGGAGGGAGAAAAAGAGGAGGAAGGTGCTATCGTTGAGCCCCGGGAGGTCTCGAATGACCTCGACCAGCAGCAGGAGGAATTCCAAGCTGCCCAGCGTGTGCGTGGGGGTTCGGTGTCGGCACCCGTCAGCCAGGGAGCTGCCATCAACTCAAGAGGGTATTGGCCTCCCGAGGAGAGCTCTGGGGCTGACCTCTTCTTAGAGGTCCTCGTCGCTCCTCGTGGCCTTGTGGGCGGCCACACTTCTAGGGGCATCTATGAACGAGCCCTTGTTCAGAAAGAACAGTTGTTCGTCGACAACTTGGAGGCTGCTCGGTGTGTGCTTCTCGCGCCACATCGCATTCCCCTTAAGGACTTCACGACTTGTCGTAAGAAGCCCGAGACCCGGGTGGTCTCTATCCTGTTTGGGGATACCCCTGGGTTATGCCCGAGAACTGTCCCACGTGGAGTTCTTGTGAGGACATGTTCTGGGCGTGGGTGGAGACTCTTAAGTACTCACCCACGGAGTTACGGGAACTCCATGAAGATCAGCAGCTGTCCCACATCCTGGACCAGCGTGATCTTCGTGTGAGGTTTGCCCACTTGATCAGCAAGCGTATGCTGCCAATGGACATCCTGAAGCGCGCGGCTTCTAGCGCTCACGATGAGCGCGGGTACGGAATGTATTCATCGTCCGTACCCCGTTCGGGCAAGAAGCCCCGGACTACTTATGAAGCTGCCGCCGCTTCTGTTCCCAGATTGCGACAGCCTTCGGGCAGTCAATCAGGAGCCGTTCAATCGGCTCCCACGAGCTCTCGGAGTGGGCATAACCCCTCCACTTCACGAGGAGCTGTCGCTTATCGCGACACCGTTGCTCCTGGAGGATCCGCTCCACGTGGAAGTGGACTTCTCCATTCTGGTCAAGCAGGGGCGGAGGTGCCCTCGTACGAGTACGAGTACTCGGCGCCTCCCGAGAGCCACTCTCGTCCGAGTGCTCCGACTGCGGGTCCGACACAGGACCCTGAGGTTGACCGCCTCCGTCAACGTGTCCTCGTGCTTGAGATATCACTTGGCCTTGGGACTGGCGGTAATGCTGCCGCCCAGGCCGGGAATCAGGGCGAGCTCGCTCGTCTTGCGGGTCGCCTGAACCTGGTGGAGCGCGAGGTCGCGAGCCTGCACCTGCGGGTGGATCGCCGGGCCTCTTCGTCCGATCTGGACGAGGCCTTTCGAATGATCCGACGGATCGAGGCTTTGTTGCCACGTCCGGAGCCGCCTGCGGCACACTCCCAGACGTACGCGTATGGTGCGTACCCGGCGTACTCAGCGTACTCGGCGTATGGCGCCGGGGTCCGTTCGTATGGAGCCCCTCCGGCGTACGGTCTTGACCGCAGCCTTGCCGTCCCGACCGAGGCTTGGGTGCCTGCTCCGACGCCCTCGTCGACGACTGTGACCGGCCCTCGCTTCGAGGAGCTGGGTCAAGGGGGGACTGCGAGTCAGCAACCCCCTGCGGGTCAAAGTACCGCTTAAGACGTCCGACATAGAACGTCGGGTGCGTCGTCATTGACTTTGGAAGGTCGATGGTGTACGACGCATCATGTCTGGCTAGGACTGCAAAAGGTCCGATGAAGCGGTGCTTCAGTTTGTTGCTGCCGACAGAGCTAACAGTGTCTAGAGGTAGGTTCCTCGTGTCTAGCAACACTAAGTCCCCAACCTCAAATATACTTAAGTTTCCTCTTCCTTGCTTGTCTGAGTACTCCTTTTGCTTATCTTGGGCCGCTGCCATGGCATCGCGGACCCTGCTGACAATGTTCAGCTTGGTATCCATAAAGAATTCCACCTTTTTCCGCAGCGAAACTGGTCTCACATCCGAGACCTGGGAGGAAAGGGCTTTCCGAGCCTTTCCCCCACTTAGAATAGAGGAGTCGGTGTCTTCTCGAAGAGTGAGAGGCACTCTGGGGTGTCGGAAGTCGTTCAAGTAGAACGGCGTGAACCCCGTGGACGCGTGCACCGCGTTGTTGAGCGCAAACTCAACAACTGGAAGCTGCGTCGACCACGTACGTGGTGCTGCCGCGCACACACTGCGCAGAGTGTCCTCGAGCACTCGATTGACGCGCTCTGTTTGGCCGTCGGTCTGCGGATGGTCCGCAGTGGACATCTGCAGACGAGTTCCCAGTAAAGAAAACAGCGTTTTCCAAAACGCGGCAGTGAACCGCGGGTCTCGGTCCGAGACAATCGTCTCCGGGAGACCGTGATAGCGGAACACGCCATCGACGAACAACCTGGCGGTTTGTTCACCCGTAACAGTGACGGGAACTGGAGCAAGATGTACCATCTTGCTCAGCCGACACACGAACACCAAAATTCCGGTGTTGCCGTGTCCGTCGGCGGGAAGCCCAAAGATGAAGTCAAGACTCATCGACTTCCAACAATCAGCCGGTACGGGCAGGCTCTGTAGTGGAGCCGAAGAGTGCCCTGCGGGTTTGACCCGCTGACATGTTTCACATGTCTTGACGTACCGGGCGACCCACTTGTACATGTGGGTCCACCAGAAGGACTGAGAGACCGACAGAAAGGTCTTCTCGCGGCCCAAGTGGCCGCTGGAGGGCGCGTCATGCGCCTCCGCGAGGATGTCGAACTTCAGATCCGCGTTGTTGGCTACGACCACCCGTGGAGGATCAGTGGGCTCCACCCGATAATAGAGGAGGCCCTCCTTCTACTCATATCGGTGGAGCCGTGAGCGCCGTCGCGACGAGAGCCAGTCGGACTTCGCGCTCGTTCCGGCCTTAACCCCCCAACGCCCAAGCCGTTTTTTGACGTTATTTCAAATCATCCAACATAGTACTCATCCAACATGTAAAACCGTGCAACACTTGACTTTACTATAGTCTCGTATAATTCCGAGCACCTTTCTTGTACATGCACAACAAGACAATTTCTGCAAATCCCGTCACAATGTTGTACATGATGTACACCAGATCAAAGTTGTATATACACCGGCAGACTGCTTGAATATGGCGTACATCCAGCATGATGGAGGTTTCAAAAAAAGGTGTCGATGTATCTTTTATCAAGAGACTGTACGAAGCCTATCAATCCGGTGCAAAGCCGGGAGGTTTGAAGACAACGAAAAGCGAAACCAAACACACATCAATTGAATACAGTAAGAAAAAGCACATATTGCAGCACTACGTTCATCCACCACCAGTTATCGGCTCACTCAGTCTCGCTACCTTCCCTGTCGTCGTCGTGCGCTACGCTGTCGCTGTCGCTCCCCTCGCTAATACCTTCCTCCTCCTCTCCATCACTACTTCGGCGGCGGCGCTTACCCTTTCCTCCAGCCTCGCGATTCTGGAATCCTCGTCCACATCGCGCCCTGGGGCATTTGGCTCCATTTGCCCACTTGTGATGCCAGATCTGGTGGCAGCTCAGAGCGTTGCCAGGATAGTGGTGCGGCCAAATACGAGTACACAGATACATGCTGTACATAACGAGCAACAGTTAGTAGTCGTTTCAGCCATATCGAATTCGTATGTACCGAGCTTTATCAGAAGTGCTGCAGGCATCGCAATAGTATTTGGTGGCTCGACGCTCTCCCACCCGGCGCTTCAGAATTGCGCACACTTTGCATTGGCGCTGCCGGCGCTTGCGCACGCCTTTCACGATCTGGTACTCAGGACATTCCTGAGGTTCGTGGCCAGGTGGCAAGGGTGGAAGCTCGTCGCCAGCTGCGGTCTCTTGTGGTCTTGGCTGTCAACATACAGCATGTGGGTCATACAATATGTCAGTATT